AACGTCCTGCGATTTGTTGAGTAAATTCTTGTGATTATTTTGACTGCTGCTGATCGAAATATGGCCAAAACTACTTCCAACAATTAAAAACTATTTGTCTTCTCCAAGTTGAAAGGAAATTGCGGTATTTCCTATGACATTCCCGATAACCTTGAATCATTTAAACAAGCAATTTCCCTGCATTGAGATGACAGAAAATTGAATTTTTTTATAATATTGTGGGAAGAAAAATCCCCGAAGTTATTTCCCAGAATTGTCTTGACGGTCGGGTCAAGTTTACTTAACTAAATTCTCGAAGCACCAAATCGTATAAAAGATGGAGGAAGGACAGTACAAGGGAAGTTGAGTCACAACCACTTGATTTACACGATTATAGAGCTTTTTTTACACATATCTTTCAACGTAATTACGTAATAAACGAGCAATTGAGGAGAAATATGTACCCCTTATGGGTTCGTTAAACCGCCGTTGAGGAATCAGGAGAAAAAATTGGAGGAATATTGCTCTGGAAATTTGTACATCTAAAGATGGTCATTGAGTCCTAATCTTTCATTCAAATTTTTAGACCGGGATTATTATGGAATTTTCGATAGACAAGCTCAGCACGATTCTAAATGCAAAAAATAATCTTTATTTTTCATACATTCGGGTGGCTGTAAACTGAAAAAGTATGTGGGTGTCGCCACTCTCAGAGAATGAAATGGATACTGTGAAATTTATAAATGTGTTTTCTACTCGTCTATCTTTCACATTTGAATTATTAATATAATCAGGGTGAAGAAGACGTATTTGATGTTGTTTACAAGCGAGGAAATTCAACGTTTTCATCCGGTTTCAATGATGATTTGCATGTGTAATTTTAGCACCAATTTTATAGTGTTGAAGTGTTGAATAATAGCTGATGTATATGAAGTTCTGATAATAATTATTAACTGAAATCGTTCTTCACCTTGAAAATCTTAACATATAAAATTTGAGTTGCATATCTTTTCAAAAATTCCTTAAAAATTGTTGGAAAGCTAATTTGAATGAATTAAAAAAAGCAAATCCGAAACAGTACATTGGAAAAATAAATGATCTATTTCAATAAAAATGAATCCAACCCAAATTGAAAAGTTCAAGAATTTTTCTGTCGCAATGAATCCTCACAATATGAAAAATTCGCATCTTCAACGGCATGTACGTGAAAACGCGTGAGATAATGTTAAAAAATTTTCTTAGAATTTTCTGTGTCCAATCCCGGAACAGCCGACATTTCAACTGAAATTCAAGAACTCGAGAAATTTGTCTTCATTACAGTGGGTTCTGATGAATTCCATAGAATTCTGCTTAAAACATGAAATTTTATAATTATTTTTCCTAAAATTTGATTCCATGTCACTATTATGAAAATTAAGAGCGGGGGCTCAAGCATTTTCATGCACTCGGAATTCAATGATTTATCGTGATTGGGAATTAATACTTGCTCAATTGAGAAGCCTCCGTGCATATACAACAAGTATCGACAGTAATTACACGTGTCGGCGTGTGCCCCGCGAGGCAACATTGAAGCGAGGTTTTATTAATTATCACATACGGCACTCACTTTCTATCATTCTTTCTACATTACATAGTCATTTCAACTCTACATATGAATAAACTTTTTCTTCTCCCGCTATTTCTCATCACTTTGCCTCTTGCCGGTACATGACTACTCACACATTTACGTTTTGTTGCAATGAATAACGGCACATTCTACTGACAATTATTGCTTGGCGGTGGGGGTCAACGACGCGCGTGTCGCGTTCCATTAGACTCTACATCTTACGAAGAAAGATGCATGAACGAGATAATGAAGTAATTTTTTTTCTTTCTCGCGGGAAAATGTTTTGTGAATTTCTTTGATGTGTCGAGGAGCTGCATAACCCCTGGACCCAAACTTCCGATATTGTTCTTATATTGAATAATAACACAAAGCATTCACTATTGTCATTTCAATAGTAAACAATAAAGTTATTTTATGTAATAAATCCAATTAATTGTTTCTTATTCTGAAAGAGATGGTCATATTTCAATGAACTTGTCCTCTGGTTAAAAAACAATGAAGATGAGAATCATTATTTAGAGAAAAACAATGGATGAAGAGAATTCCATCCTCTAAGGAACGACTCCTAACAAAAATCTCGCATGGTGGAGATATAGCAATATTAGGGGAGAGTTCGGGCAAAATGGGTCGTTTCGTTATCTTCTCTAGTTGTCAATATCTTCACTTATAAACAAAGATATTGACGATTGGAAGAGATCTCAACACCTCCCATTTTGCCAGACCCTTACCTATATTTTATAATATAGTCCAATCATATTTCACATACTTGGCCTATAAATAAAATATATGGCCCATATAATCCACCATACGAGTCTTGAATGCATTTGAGATGTTATATTGTATGCAAAGAACATATAGTATATTCCCAGTCAATACATGGGGAATATTCGATCCATATATTTCAATATAGTCCATCTGTACCTTGCGAACAAAGATCCATGAGCGATATAATGAAGTAAGTTTTTAATTTCTTTCTTTTTCGCAGGAAGATGTCTCGTAAATTTCTTTGATGTGTGCAGATGCGATATATCGTAATCACTAAAGAATACCAAATGTTCTGATAAGTAATATAACAAAATACAATATAATTCAATATATTCAAAAGATCAACTTCTAGATTTGATATTTTCAAAGCGGTGGGCATAGTTTAATACTCTTGTCCTCTAATTAGACAATAATAAACATGAGAATCATTACTCAAACTAAAAAAGGGTCGCAGAGAAACCGTTGAGATATCCTACAAGAGAAAAAGTGGAAAATATATTTCAACAATAGTCTCGATAAATTTGGCATGCTTGGAATATTTAATTCACATATATGGCACATACATTCCACAATGTAAGTTGAACTGTTATATGTTGTTTTCATTGAGCAAATATTTTCCCAATTCAGTATATTTGCATTATTCACCCTATGTGTGGGCGTCCGTATGTAAAGGTCCCAAGAAGTTTTCGGCACGAAGGTATGTATGCTCCGGTAATATTGTTAACATTCCGCACGGTAATATTGACAACATTTCGCCCAAAATTACCTCGATAACATGCGAAATGACGCCGCTAGAGAAGCTTATAAAACTAACTTAACATTGGTTTAAATGAGAATTGCCGAGAATATCTTAGAAACTCAAATCGACAAAATGGGCCCTTTGTATTTCAGAACTCCACATTAAAGTTAACTGAACAATTGGAATAATAATTCTCCAACCCGATTAAAAACAACAGATTGATCCCTTCCAAACAAACAAGTTGTCATTTTCCGTTCTAATTTTTCAGGATAATGCGGTCGTATCTTGAATTTAAATATAACAATTCGTGCCAATGTTACTAGACAAGATGTCGAGGGAAGTAACCATAAAGAATCGTGGTATCATCAAACAGTGGGCAGATACTCATGCACATGTAATAACCCATATGACGGTATTTTGAAGTACGTCCCATTATTCTATTCTGACTGGGTAGAACCCCCGATAATCTCGCCTTATAAAATAAACCACTCTTGCTTGTAGGCACTCGACTCTCGGTGGCCGCGGTGCGATCTGTCAAATAAATCGCAGTCTGTTTCTTGTATACTCTCTTACGCCTCTTCCTCGCGCTACTATTCTCTCTCCCTCTATTTTTCCTCTCTCTCACTCTTTCGTCTTTTTTAACATGAGTCGATTCATAAAATAATCCAGGGCTAAACTGGCCTCTCAAGGAGAACAAACAATTGTCCCACTGTCTCACGCGTTCATCCGGGACTCGATGGAAAAATCATTTGTATTATGATAACATATGGATGGATTTCAGGAAACAATGCAAATAAATCGTATGGAAATCAAATCGTTCAATAGAATTGACAAAATAAGAAAATGTGAAAATTTGATTTTTCAAATTCCATGAATCCTAATGAACGATCTATTTAATTAGAATGTTATTTATGACTTGGATATTCAAATCAATTAATGAAGATGTTCAGGTGCAACAATCCATCAACATCCGCACTAATCACTAATTAATCATCGATTTATGATTTAAAACAAGTGTTAACACAGTATGACTGGTTTGTAGCGTTTCTACACGTGTATTATAACGCATATACTCAAGAAGCACACGCCAGTCTCGTTATTAATCGTTACCGTGAGTAAATACCGGAAGCATGTTTATGCTCGCGTAATCTCATTAACCGAGTGACCATCGCTACATAGTCTTATAAATTCATTGGTTTTTACGATCTGAAGGAGTTGAAATATTTCACTGAAGTCTTCTTCCCAGTCTTGTCTCCCTCTTTTCGGTTTCCGAGTCACATTATTGATGGGGCGGATTAAACTGATATGAATTCTTCATGTTAGATTAATGATATCCCACAGGTATCATCGCTCCAATCATCTCATCTCATCATCGGATCAGAACTTAATGTTGACGTAATTGATTTTCCATTTTTTTATATCTCAATTACTTTGATTGTGAGTCGTTAATATATCTGCTACTACCATTCGCATTAGATCTACCGGTTTGTTATTATCGAGTAACTAAATGAAATATTTTAACGACGAAAAAATGTACTCTGTAAGTGGCTGTTTCAACTTCCATTCTAAAGACGAATTTTTACCCAATGGAAATTCCAATCGTTGGATCATTTGATCGTAAATACTTGAAACATCCTAGTCAATCCTCACAATCTTAACGAATCTTCAATTTAGTTTTTTTTTCCATCGATTAATTCGAGATGTTTCGCCGTGTGGTATCGATGGTCGCAGTGGAATAGACAAGGCACCGGTATATAAGGGTCAATTAAAGACTAACGAACTCCATTGTGCAGTTTATTCTCAAGTTGACTGAAAATTCAACGACGCGATAAATATCGAGTCGGGACAGTAATGATGATGTAATGGATTTTTAAATGTCAGATGAAAACTATTGTAATCGCTTTTGCTTACCAGATTGACAGTGATTTCTCGTTATTAGCTCCCTGTCTCGTTCTCCGGGTTTGGATGTGGGGAGGGAGCTATTGGATATCAGTTCCAAAACACTAATTCCAACCGATGATTAAAGTTATAGTTTCACTCAGCACTTGTCACGTGTTTCTCCCAATCTTCAATCATCTCAATCACTCGTTTTTATTATGACTTATCCCAGTCTCACAAAGCACAATTATCCCATCACAATTGTTCACAAAATTCATTAAACGTCAGATCAATTAATGACGCACTTTAAGGTCTCGTTATGCAGATGATAATCCAATGAAATGACAAATGAAACCATTCGTTGCGAGTGGTGAAACGACACTGCCCGACGTTTTATCCAAGGATGCCTCTCAGGAAGCTCGGGGCGAAGTGCCGGAGCGTCGCTTGAAATAAACCGCTCGCGCCCACATTCCCCTCCACCAACCCCCGTTCAGTCTACCCCACTACCGTTTTTTCATGCGCACTCCGACCTACGATCGGCTAGATGCGCGGAGAACTCAAAAACCAACGATTCAAACGTCACATGCACACCTCCCTCACGCTTCTCTGCTTTTTTATTGTCGTTTTGATGTTTCTTGGTCTCTTTTAATTTAAACCCACTCTACTCTCGCGGGACATTTGGGCATAATGTAGCACCCCCTCGTTCAACGTCTACTGTCGTACGCACACGTGCGTAGTGTGACCAAAGATCCACGAGGAGACTGCAACTTCCCGCCACGAGAATCGCGGCAGTTTTTTTTTGCATTTTTTGGGAGAATTTTATGAAGATGAATAACATTAATTTTTTTCGGTTTTGAGGGACCGAAGTGTTTTGGGATTTCGTTGTTTTTTTACAGAGGAAAGGACGGGCGATGTTGGGTATCGCAAGTGGGGTAAGAATATTCAAATGTTCTCTTCATGGTTATTTTTTAGCTTGAAGAATTATGAAGACATTTTTTTCTGTGGCAAAATGACTTGAATTTTTCATAACGATTGATCATTATGAACAGAAGGCCCATGAGCTAGTGAAGCTTGTTCATTGATTGTCGGTTAGTTAACGATATTTCTTCCATATGCAATATTACAGACGATGAACAGGATTTTTTTGTTTTACTATTCCGTTGAAGTATAATTAACTAACTTATGCCAACCCGTTGATGAGAAAACTATCTCGTTGATGGATGATTTTAAGAGGAATTACGAAGCAATATTTTTTTTTGAGAAATTGATCGTACTTATCGTCAGAAAACGTAATTGAATTTTTCTCCTATATTCGGCGGCTCGTTTTATCATGAAATAAGAAATAAAAAATGCAAGAAAAAATATGTGTTTCGAATGTTTTTCATTCATTTTTCGCTTACGCTTTCATGTTATTTGATGAAAAAGAAATCCTACAAGCCATTAATGATAATTTTTACAAAAAATACAATAACATAAAGTTTCAACGATCTAGAATATTTATATTTTCTTTTGAATATTGTGAGTTCGAGATTAAAATTTTTGTGTTTGAAAATTTTCAATCTTCTTAATTAAGATTGAGCAAATGCCCAGAATGGTTCATTCAGTGAAAGACGCTTTGCAGGTAAAGATTTTGGGTGTTTTCTGAGTGGCATCACGTGTCAACTAGTACCCTAATATATATTTCTTTGGCGCAATAGAAATCCCTGGCTGGCAGCCACCGGGGCACATCCAGGGCGGAGGAAACACGTTTGGAACATGTGTTTGCCGTCGACCACCTCGTGCCACGGACCATTCAACGCTACTGAGTTTCTGGCTGGGAATTTTTCATTCGTAGAGTGGTGTGTTCATCTCACAATCACTGTCAATCTCGGCATCGAGAGCTTGAGATTTTCTTAACCCATTGAGGAAAATGAAAACCCGAGCCAAAAACAAGAGGATAATCCGTAGTTTTTTCATTCTGATTTTGTTCTTTTTTATTTCCTGTGTTCTCTGGCGCAAGACGTAAAATAGTCCAGGCGTCAGAGCATTAAATTTGATGAATGAACGTAATAATTCCCTACAAAGGTTTTAATACGTAAATTGCTTGGTTTTGGTATAAGTAATACATACTAAAAAGTAATTGTCGATTTCGATCGGCAAGTTATTGTTTAAACAATCAAAAGTGGCGATGTTTTGGTTTTTCACGGTTTTTACGGTAACTATGGGTGCTACGATAAAAATAGTTATATACAAAATTAATCCCCATAAAATTATCTAAAATAAATGTCCTTTGACTTCGTTTGTCCAATCAATCGTGTTCAAGATAAACCCGCGAAACTGGTCAAACTATGCTACATCGCGCTTATTTTCACTAACCATACGCCCCCACGCCTATTTTCAATGTGATAATTTCTTTATTATTGTAAACAGCACTTACGAGAATGATTTTTTAATACAAAAAGTAATAAATGATGCAATTGTTAATAAAAAAAAATGTTGATAATGAAATTAGCCAAACTAACGGATATGAATTGACTTACGAGAATCTGAGAGGAGGTGGACAAAATAATGATAATACAGTGGCATCACAAAATAATTATAAGTTGGTTTATTCATTACAAATAGGCTTTGTAAATTTTGAAAAGTGTCAATAAACTCTTCGTTTTTTTCTGAGCTGGAGAGCGCAAATCACTGACATCCTCCACTGATTCAGATTCGCTGCCTGATTTCTCACTGACTTGAACGTCCAAGAATTTCTCAATATCTATGTGAATTAATTCGTCTACGTCTTCATCAATATCAATGTCGACATTTATATTGAAGCAATTTGTCCCCTGGCACCCAGTACACAACATTGAGCAATACAGGCCTATTCTCCTGCAGCCACAGTTACCAGTGCATTCTTTGAGACATTTACATGGAATTGTCTTCAGTAGTTCCTGAGGAGCTGCGGCATTTGTAGTGGGGATGGATAATAGTCCGTTGGTTGTTTGTTTTCACCCCCAATCAGTAGGATTGAGATGATTTCCTGACCAGGCTTGAATCTGGTGATAAACTCGTAAGCTGTGTTGCCCGGCTGCTTCGCGAGTTGGAGGCAATGACGAGATATTACACCTGAGTTTATATCTGCACCCCCCCCCCTCACTCCACTTTCGGTCCTTTTATCCCGTTTTTAGTGTAGCTGGCAAGGCAGCAGGGGTAATAACGTTGGAAGAAATAAATACGATCGATACCGCAGGTAGTAGGTACGTAAAAGCATGTGACGCGGCTAACCACGCAGTTGACATCTGTCTTTCACGGCTGTATCTTAAAACCGATTGATTGGACAAACAAAGTCGAGAAACATTTTTTTTTAGATAATTTCATGGGTATTAATTTTGTATACAACTATTGTTATTGCAGAATGCATAGTTTCTGTGGAAACCGTGAAAAACCAAAAAATTGCGAATTCTGATTGTTTAAACAATAACTTGCTGATCGAAATCGACAGTTATTTTTTAGGACATTATTATTCATGTCGAAACCAAGTGATTAACGCATTAAAACCTTTTGTGGGATTTAGCAGTGTCATAAAACCCCTGACGCCTGGAATAAACCATATAAATTAGATCTATAGGACTCGGCTTGGGAGGAGAGGAAACCGGAAGTTGCGCTTAAGTGGTAACGGAACCCGTCGCACGTAGAGGTTAGGGGTCCCCCTGATCGGTAGTGCAGGTTCTCGTGGTTTTTTTGAATTTTGTACGTGAAAAGTACAAAAGCCCATAAAATATAAATAAATGGATATAAATAAATAATAATGGTATGGAAACATTCTACATCATCTTCTGACGCGTAAAAGTACTTCCCTCTTACAATTGGTGCCCTGTAAAGGACATGTTACCTCCCGGATACCACCCAATCATCATAAACAAGTTGTTACGAAAATTACGCAACAAAAGTACGTTTTTGTACGTAAATCTACGAAAAAATCGGTTTTTCTAGTATGACTTGGCAGATTCCTACAAATAAAATGGCGTCGGCCTTGCCCTGGTGCTGGCCGTTAAATAATTTGAAATTTTTTTTTGCATAAATAAGAATAGCATGATAAGAGAGCGATACGTTCCGTTACTATCAATACGGGGAAAAAGTTGAATTGATTCTCATTGCATAGAATCCAAGAAAACTTGTTTTTGGTAAACGTCTTTTTGTGGTCGGTTCCGTGGTCGGTTCCGAGAAGCGACCAAAGGAGCATTACAAAATTCTACTCTTTTTGGTATTGTTTTACCGCGTTTGTTATGAGTTTCAGCTGTTTTAAAAATTTACAAATGGCTACCTCCTCCTGCATCCGTTTTCGTATAGATTTTTCCTACTTGAAATCTTGGGGAGAAAGGTTTGACTTCAATGATGAATTATTATTTCTTTTCACATCAACAAAATTGCATTCAAAAACTGAACTTGCTCCCGAAAATACCCAACGTTTCATTGCTGTACTTTCTAATTTTTGTCAACTTGCATGGCTTTGGTGCGACCGCCCATACATCCAGTGAGCTGACTTCAGGGAGCATATGAGAGGGTTCATTTGGGAAAGTCATGAATGTCCTTGAAAAATTGTATTCTTTAATGTTTCTTAAAAAAATCCTTTTTTTCCATTAACAGTATCAGACACATGGAGAAGAGTAGTGATAATTTTTCAATTTCAGAACCTATAGATATCGAGAAATGAAATGAACAAAATGAGTCTTATACACGAGCTGTTGTGGAGTTATGATTTAATCGAACATGTCATCTCCTTAGGGGATGAAAAAAAAGTAGGTGACAACGAGGGTGTCATAGTAAGCACGTAACTGCAGATTTTCTACTTGGGAGTGTGTAGATGCTTTTCTGCCATCAATAAAGTTATTGCAGGGTACCGAACGATCCGATTTTGAATAAAATCGGTTGAGCAAATTTAAAATGTGCAATGAATAGATTTACATACAAAGTTGAATATCTCCTGGACAAACCATCTAATTCAGACCATTTTCAATACGTACCGTTGCAAGGATAAAAGGAAACTTTCCCAGGTAAGAATTACCAAGGCTGACGATGGGAACAAACTTGTATGAACCCTGGATTGGTGAGGCTCAGTGGTTCAGGCCTCAGCTAGACTGAAATGATGGTGATTCATAAGGCCATCTACGAGAGTCAATTCAGGCCTAGTCCCGACCTTGATAATTAAGGCTGAATATGTCAAGACTCATCCGGGGCCTAACCAGTCCTCAAGAATAAAGTCTACTTTCAATTCGCTTCCGTAACCCTGGCGGATGAGTCCGAGACCTATCCGAGAGTAGCTCCGACACTCGGAATAGACACTCATTCGACTCTCGGATTTTCGGAGGTTAGGGCGCCAAACTCCAGTAAAGACTCTCGTCCGAGAGTGCATCCGAGAGTTGTTTATGCCTTCATAAATCAATTT